ACACACACAGCACAGGAAGTACAGTTAAATGTAGCATCATTATCTTAACATTGTCACATTAACATTTTAGGATGCATCTTTCATTTTAGGCTGCAACAAACAATACATCCTTTTTCATATTAAAGTATGAGGAGGCTGCATTGATAGCATATACAGGCTTACAATTCCCTCACTTTAGAGACTTGACAAAAAACAAAATTACAGTCAATTAATTTCTAGCCTCCTCGGGGTGAAAGTTGGTACGGAACTTCGTGAAACAAATTGCAAGTTATCTTAGGATAAGGTAAAAGTTGTTGCAAGAGCTCGTGAGCAGGTACACAAATCACGACACAAGTGGAGCTAGCCAAATGTAAAACATCTGACAAAAGTTTCCCCACCAGGACCAAGTGCTTTCCTCCCTCGTTGGCGACCCAGCTCCGCACCGACACAACCATGATGCCTTCACGGGCTCAGCAGCTGCCGAAACTTTTCCACCAAAGCCTCGGTGTGGCTTAGAGGTAGAGACTCGTCCACCCTGCAGCTCTGTCTCTATGTGCCTGTCTGTGTGTCTGTGTGTTTGTGTGTGTGTGGTGTGTGTGCAGCTCCACAGACCGGCCGGTGTCTGCTCCGTCCCCCCTCACTCCTCCTCCGTCACCGCTGACTGCCCTGAGCGCAGTTTGACTTTTCATCCTCCGAGAACAAATCCCAGCGACGTGACTCAATCTTAAAGTTTCTCCTCATTTCACCTCAGTTGGCTTTACAACAGGCCTGGACTTTAAGTGAGCAGCGTCTTTAACATGTTTCCTAAACACATTTAGGAATAAGGACTTTGTAGATAGTAAGTAACCAACAAACACAATGGAGAACAATAAGCATTGCTACACTGCTACTTTCTGACAATAGAGGGCGCCACCGTCTAACAATGAAGTGACCGTGTGTTAGACAGACATTCATTTTGGTTCTCTTCAGTGGTGTACTACTTTAATGAAGTACATTTACTCAAGTACTATACCTAAGTAAGATTTTGAGGTACTTTACTTAAGTATTTCCATTTTATGCTACCCAAAACTTCTACTCCATTACATGTTGGAAGCCAATATTGTACCACTACATACATTTGACAAAATTACTAACTTCTTACTTTACAGATTCAGACTATTAGCTAATACTAATTATAAATAAACTAATACATAAACTATGATAGATAATTATAGGTTAATAAATCCAGTAGTAGTACATCAATTCATTACATTAGCTCCACCTTTACCAGCAGAGATGAACACATTAATGCATTACTGATTAGATATGATTCTAAAATGGGACATAATGCAGAATAAGTACTTTTACTTTTGTCCCTTGAAGTCATAATACCTGGTATGGTTTGGCGTGTTATCATTAACCTTAATCATGGTCCATTGATTGTATAAAAGTAATACAATATTGCATTGTTTTTTTTAAAACAAACAGTGTGTTGAGGATGAGGCAGAGCTGCAGTCTGTGTCCTCCCCAAATTCCTGAGGGCAGAGAGCCTCCTCCACACTTCACGCTCCAGCCCACCACATAAAAGAGCCGCACTTTAGCCCTCCCAGCTGTTCACAGGACCAGGAGGGGTCAAGCAAGACCAGGCCTGTGGGTCTTATAGTGTGGGAAAATATGTCAGAATATTAATAGCAATAGATATGCTGTAACTTGAGTTTCATCCTAAACTGAACCTGGAATATAACACTTTAATAAACTCACCCATTATCTACTGGGTAGCTATAGGATTCATAACTTTAACGCTGTTTATTGTCTGTTTTGTTGGGTGATAAGAAGTTATGGTGAATGACTTACTTTATATGTCAACTTTATGTCAATTGGAGATAGAGCAGATAAGAACAAGGGAGCTGAAAACCCAGTTCTGACAGGAAAAGAAAAAAGAGCTAAAAGTTATGCATAATAGAAAAGATACACATAGTGGTTCCATTAGTTGTCTTTCTAAGTCGGAATTTTGACTTACTATAATTGAATTCGCTTATGAGATTCTACCTTAAAATTCTTACCAGGAACAATTCGATGTTGACTTAGTAGGTACAAATAGTGATTTACTGTGAGCATCCTAATTATATTATGTCTAAATGTTCATGCATTTATTTTTGGGCTTCCAGATGTTATGTGATTAATGACATTTTTCACTTTTGTATATGGATATATGCTTCTGCAGCTAGTGTTAATGGTATATGATTTATTATCTACCCCTTTTTATAGCCAGCTATATTTTAGTTCCAGGTTAACGGGTTTACTTTAATAGACTGTTACAGAAATGTCCATACAGATGGATATATTTTTTCTAAATAGAAGCGTGCACAGCTCTCAATCTTAAATAATGTCCTCTCAATGTCCAACATGTATTTTATATTCAGCTGACTGTGAAAGCCATATCAATGTATACACACACACACACACACACACACACATTTGTATCCATATATAAAGCCATTTAGTGACCCCTTATCACCATATGAACACATGTTACTTTATTTTGTCTTTTTTATGATTTAATCACCATAGATTATTTTCAAGACAATGCATTTATTTTAATTCTACAGGAATCTGCGCATTCAGTGTGGCTCATGGAGACTTTTGACAGCTTTCTGACTGAATTATTACTTTAACAGCTTATTCTTGGCTGGACTCTGGATTCCCGACCATAGTTGAGTAACACTGAGTCAGCACATGAATGGCCAAGGAGCACAAGACTGTCATCAGCCTACTGGCCAATCATATCACTAATGACTAGCTCCCTCTTTGTAGTCCTCTGCAACCTGCCAGACACAGAAAGTCACCTCCCTCTCTCCCTGTCCCACTCTATCTCACTTTCCCTCTGTGCTCTACCTAAACAAATTACTCCCTATCTCTGCGAGCGTGCTGTGCAGTTGTGTCGGCGCGTGGAAGCCTGTGGGACGAGCTGCTTTAAAATGAGAAAGGAGGGCAGGTTAACTCGGTGGATCGGATGGACTGTGGTTGTGGCAGGTTTGTTGTTGCTTGGTTTCATCATAGGTAAGACTTGATAATACAACACAAACTTACACTCTACTGGACTGTTACTCACAAGTTATATCTACACTGCTATCTATGTTTGTTGTTAACAGAAATAACGTATAACTATGGAACTAATGATAGTTGACCAGGACAAGTTTGTAAATGGATGTGAAGGCAGATGCTGAATTAACATGAATAGATACAAAACCTCAGGGGTGGAAGGTGTACTCAAGTCTTGTACTTAAGTTAAAGTAGTAATAGCAAAGTAAGAATACTCTGTTACAAGTAAAAGTCATGTATTCAAAATGTTACTCAAGTAAAATTTGCATCTAAATATACATAAAGTACCAAAAATAAAAGGAGAATATTTACCTCTGAAATGTAGTGGAGTAGAAGTACAAAGTAGCATAAAATGGAAATACTTAAGAAAATTGTAATTAAGTACAGTACTTGAGTAAATGTACTTAATTACTTAACACCACTGCACAACATAAGTGCATACAATCTTTAATTTATTCGGAATAACTATCAAATGTTATCATTGCTGTTAAAGTTTAATATTGAAGGTGTGTTATCATGTGTGTGCGTTTTAGTTTGTCACTACTTTGATTCATTTCACGTGTGCTTGCTCACAGCAGCTAACACATGCTGTCCATAACCACGACTCCATTTGAAATATAATATCTATGGTCATGCAAAGTTTGTCTAGATCTTACACAGCTGGGCAGTGAGTGACTAATAGATATTCGGTTTCTCCCTTACTGTAAGTCATAAGGTGGTTTCAGTCCTGAAAGAAGAGACACGGTTGTTATGCTGTATGGATTATGTATGTCTGTGTGTCTGTGTTTTGAAGGCTGGTTTGCAAAGCCCACACGTCCAAACACTCCAAACGATACTGCTTCCGGCAAGTATCTACGGGAGTTTCTGGATGAAATGCGGCCAGAGCAGATCAGAGAACATCTCAGGTAAGAAGCAATACCAACAAACAAAACCTCTCTATCCATCAGAACAAATCATCTAAACAACTGTAAACAGTCTTCAGCCCTCTTTGAAAGAAAAGGTTTCAGCAGGGAGGGAAACATCTTTGAGTTTTGTTAGGGAGTTCCTTGTATTCATATAGATAATAATACATAATATCTATATAGCGCTTTTCCCAGTGCTCAAAGACGCTTTACAATAAAATACGAGAAAAAATACAAAAACAGCCCTGAGCAAAGTTGAAAAAAGGTGGGTTTGGGTAGAGGACTATAGGTTGTTTTGAAGGCTTTTATGCAGTGTATGTATTTTGAATGTGACTGGGAGGCTGCAGCGAAGGACTGGTCGCCCCAGGTCTGGAACTTAGTCCTGATGGGCTGCAGTAGGTTAGCAACAGCAGACCTCAGGAGATGGGTAGGGTTGTGTTGTTGAATGAGGTCTCATAGGTGAGGGGGGGGGGGGGGGGGGGGGGGGGGGGGGTGGGTGGTTGATGGCTTTTTTTAGGGGGTTGTGTAATATATTAAATCACTCCGGTATTTGATCGCTAGCCAGTGGAGGTGACAGCTATCTGAATGTGCACCAATTTTGCCATATGTTTTTCCATTTCACAACTATAGCAAGCCAAACATTTCACTTGCACAGCAACTCAATTGTTGACATTTATCTTAGGCTTCTTAACCCCACTAGCGGGGTAGAAAAAAAAGAGGAAAAGAAATAAGAAGAAGAAAAAAAGACTAGAAACCTAAGTTACTTTATTTTAATTATTTATTTTATCTATTGGCATTTCCAAAGATTCCAAATATAAAATTAAGCATCCCTCAGTGTTCTATAAACATCCTATAGCTTCAAAAAATGCTGTCCAACCATCTGGAAAAATACATAACATTAAAGACTTGATGGTGTGTTCAAGTGCAGTCTCAGAACAAGAAACGCTTTCCATGCATTTTTGCTTATATTTGTTCTAACTTTACAAAAAGATCTCACTTTCCCTAGCTAATCTGCACATTCAAATGAAGTGCGTTATGGCCAAAATACATTTTATTCTGTAAGCAACTTCTAGCCTCTAGCCACTGTTGACATTCTCTCCACAGGAAATTTACACGACTCCCACATCTCGCCGGTACAGAGCAGAATCTGAAATATGCAGAGCAGATCATGAAAGAGTGGAAGGAGTACGGCCTGGACTCAGTGGAGATGGTGCCCTACGACGTCCTGCTGTCCTATCCCAACAAAACACAGCCGAATTACATCTCGATAATTGATCAGCTTGGCAGTGAGGTACGACATGAAAACATCCAGTCAAATGCATTCATACTGAAAAAAGACAAAGTGCATTTTACAAAGAAGCAAAACATGTTGCATATCTTGCTAAAACCTCTTCTCGTGCATTCTTGTTTTTGTTGTTTGGTCCCATCTTCTATAGCATTAGCATAGCAGTCAGTTTATAACACAGCCACCGCTAAAACTATTTCAATGACCATTTGCATGCATTGTGTCCACTGTAAGAAACTACATGTAATATATGCTTTAGTTTAATGATTTCCAAACGTTTTATGATATTGATCAATTTCTCCATGTTATTTTCTAACACACATGAACAAAAACACTCATTTGAAAAAGCACATGACTGCTGCTGAGTCTGTTTAGGGAGATAACAAAGTTGCAGCGTCCACATGGTGAATTTTCAGATAAATTAAAAACACAAGACGTCTCGTTCAGGTCCAAGGTCCTTTTATAGCTTGTGGCGAGATAAACCACTCTTTGTAGAGATAATGATACAGCACAGTGGCAAGCAAGAACAACTGACCAGAGTTTACAGCATGGCTATATCGAAGCATGCTACTAGGATGCATTCAGGATCACAAACAAAATCCGGGTTTACATTTCAGCTTAATCAGTAACACATTTCAGCTGATACCCTGAGCAGCATAGATACCAAGGTGATTGTCAGACCACTGGAAGTATATTCTACAGTAGAACAGGACAACCTGGTATCTGCCAATAATTCACAGGACTTGTTTTGGTATCAGACCTGTAAAGGACAAATCTAGCATTTACATATTGACCCCCTATTTACTCTGGGTGGGATTGAGGATTTGAATCACGCTTAAGTAAAAGTACTTATACAACAGTGTGAAAATACCCAAATATAGGTTAAGTCATGCATTGAAAATGTAACATATGTAGTTTATAAGTATTAGGCAAATTAACTAAAAGTTTAAAGGTAGAAGTATTCGATGCAGAAAATGCCTTATGTGACTTAAGCAGCATTTTACTGTTATAGTTGGCTAATGTGAAGCTAATTCATTTTTTTTTAAATATATAGAGCTGCAAAAAAGGGTTATTGTCATAAAGGATTAATCTGCTGATTATGTTTTTGAATCATTAGTGGGTTGTTCTGTTTGTAAAACTTCAGAAAATAGTGAGAACCAAAATTACTCTTCAACTATTATTAATTTATTATTGAACACAAATATTACAGTAAAAATGATGTTGCCAATTGTAATGATAATTTCTCATTAAGGTAATTGATTAATGAAGTAAAAGTTAAATAGAGGGATGTAAACAAAAATTATCTGTGAGATACATTTATTGCAGAAAATAGTATTGTTTCCCCCTATAAAATGTAGAAGTAAAGCATGAAAATCTGATATTTTAGTAAATAAAGGGTGATCTCATCAATATTTTATCTAATTCAGTCTGTGCTCATCTTTCTGTCACAGGTTTTTAACACTTCCTTGGCTGAGCCTGTTCCTGAGGGTTATGAAGATGTGTCTAACATCGTGCCACCATACAGCGCCTTCTCTCCCAAAGGACAACCTGAGGTCAATAACAACAACCATACTCACAAGCAGACAGTGATGTTTGAATATGTTTTCACTGCAGAAGTAAAAGTCAACATGGAATCTAAACATTACAAATCCTCACCGTCAGCTATCTGATAACCTGAGATGTCTCCTCTTTCTGTCTCTCTATAGGGGGATTTGGTGTATGTGAACTATGGTCGAACAGAAGACTTCTTCCAGTTAGAGAGAGACATGGGGGTCAATGCTACTGGGAGGATTGTCATCGTCAGATATGGGAAAATATTCAGAGGCAATAAGGTAGGAAAAGAAAAGTCTTGGTCATCACTCCACATGAAAACCCACAGTTAAAGGATTTCTGTGACTGAGTCGTGCAATTAAATGATTATACTTGTGGCTAGGTGTACTGGAAGAATACAATCTTTTTTCTCATACATCTTTGATTATTCAATGTGATTTGTCAATGTCAAACCACACCATTTTCTGATGCACAAAGGAAAAAGAGGACAGCAATAAATAACATTTTGTTTACTAATAACTCACTCTACTCTGTATGCTCCACCAGGTGAAAAATGCCATGTTAGCAGGAGCAAAGGGGATCATTATGTTCTCAGACCCAGCAGATTACTGGGCTGCCGGAGTCCAGGTACAGTATTTTGGATAATGTTTTTGTTAATTTGTTCATTATAAAACTGTGCATGTGTGGATGGTAACAGCCATTGTGCTAGTATTAGTGTAGTAGTTTGAACATTTGTTTTTAGACAACACTGACACAATTATAAGCCTTAAAATAAGTTGTAACCCATAAGAGACTCTGCAAACAACAACTATAAATAAGTAGCAGATGTCAGACATAGCCTTCAAGAATGTACACTTATTCATAGTTATTATCTCTAAACAAATCAATATTGGAATCAAGGATACTAATTAAATCTGTGGATTCAAATCAAGCCTTTTAAATGTGTTTGTGTGTGCAGCCATATCCTGATGGTTGGAACCTACCCGGTGGAGGAGCTCAAAGAGGAAATGTTCTCAACCTGAATGGAGCAGGAGACCCACTCACACCAGGGTACCCCGCTAAAGGTGTGTATGAGTGTCTATAAGTGTGAGAGGCTGAATCATGGGTTTGAGTTTAACTAACATAATCTTGTCTGCTCTCTTACAGAATATACCTACAGGTTAAGTCTCGAGGATGGAGTAGGTCTTCCCAAGATTCCTGTGCATCCAATTGGCTTCCATGATGCAATCAACCTGCTGAAGTAAAATCATATTTCAATCTTCTTTTCTCTCCACACTTCTAAAATGCAATCATTCAAATCAGTCATTTTTTAAAAAGGTCTACAGCCATGCTAGCAGCTCTGTGAAGCTAAGCTAATGCTAAAATGCACACAATTACAAGTTAGTGGTGCCCTTGTTAAACATGTGAGCATGCTACATGTGGTAATCGGCACAAAGACAGATGAAAATATCACATGTTTTGATAATAGTTTATCATAAATCAAATTATTAGACATGCATTAAAAAATAAATCTGATCTCATGAGAAGTCAACATGTGTGGGACAGGAATGTATTTTATATTTACATTTCATAGAAATCTATGCAATAGTTGTTGAGATATATTAGCTTGGACCAAACTGGTGGACCAAATAACAAAGATGTGTAGCATGGTTGAAACTTACTTCTTTTGGATGTTGAATTTGTATTGGCATCCTTAATGTATAAGATAATTGCTTTGGTGTATAATATATTAGATTTTTGCTTCAACAGGAACATGGGAGGACCGATTCCACCCAACAACTGGAAAGGAGCTCTGAATATCTCCTACAGGATCGGACCAGGATTTACGGATGACTTCAAACGCCAGTAAGTGATAACATTTTAGTGGAGTGTCAAAGTGATTGCTTGTGTCCACCTCACACTGTAATAACATGATTCTCCCTTCCACTTGTTTTTTTTCCTCACCACTTCTCTCTCCGAATTCACTCTGTAGTGGTTTAAGTGTTTGAATTGTCTCTCGCATTTTGTTGCTCTTTTCTCCTCTTGCTCAGCCTTAATGACCCAGTGGCAAGTAGCCAAATGTTATACAATGAAGGCCCTTGTACCCTCGGTGTGTGAAAAACATACACACAGAACAAGCTGCTTAAATTAGGGATGAACAACAGTAACTGGGTCTATTTGTGCCTCATTATTCTTCTAAAGAAGGGAATTTTGAGGTGCAAAACACTTCTTAAAGGACTTCAATGCGGCCATTAAGAGGGTTAAATCTCTTTCTCCCCTGTGTGTCTGCCTGTGTCAGGAAGCTGCGTATGAACATCCACAGTAACAACCAGATAACCAGAATCTACAATGTCATTGGCCGGATTAGAGGAGCTCTGGAGCCAGGTACAGTACCACAACCCACTAATCCTTCACTCCATTACAATGCTAACTGGACACTCAGACTCATAATAACAGGTTGCAGGATATTCATAATGCATTTTGGTCAGGAAATGTTGCTACATTCAGTGTGAAATACAGTGCATCAGCCTCTTACTCAGAGCCTGTTTTGTATGTGTTGTGATAGGATTAGCTATTTGGAATAATTTGTAAATAATAGAAGAAAAAAAAGTATATTTTTCTCGAATTATTCCATCGATGTGTGCTATGGGTTTGTGTGTGTAGACAGGTATGTGATTCTGGGAGGGCACCGGGACGCCTGGGTGTTCGGAGGAATCGACCCCATGTCTGGAGCTGCAGTGGTTCACGAGACTGTCAGGAGCGCCGGCAGGCTGATCAGTAAAGGTATGTCACTGCTTGTCACTACTCAACTGTTCACATAAATAATTGTGTCATGACAAGTACTCAGTGTGTGTTTGTCTGCGTGTGTGTGTAGGATGGAGGCCTCGGAGGACTTTAATATTTGCAAGTTGGGATGCAGAGGAGTTTGGATTGCAGGGATCTACAGAATGGGCAGAGGTACTTAAACATACACATTCACACACTTGCAGATTAAGAGCGGTGAATCAGCTTAGAAACAAGAAGTGCTCAAACGTTTGTGTGAGGTTATCAAATTTAGCAGTGATTCAATGTCAGCCACAGCTTGTCACAAAAAATCTTACTGATAGTGTATTTAACAAACTTAAACTAGCTTTATTAAATGTCAGGTCTTTGGCAGGAAAAACATTTTTAATCAATGATTTTATCACTGAGCACAATCTCGATTTTATGTTTTTAACGGAAACTTGGATTGAACAAAATAACAGTGCAGCTGTTCTTATCGAATCAACCCCTCCCAACTTTAGTTTTATGAGTCAGGAAAGAATGCATAAGAAAGAGGGTGGAGTTGCTATTTTGTTCAATGATTCCATTCAATGCAGGAAGACATCTTATGGGGACTTTGCTTCTTTTGAATATGTGGCCCTTCAGCTGAAATGCTCCTCTCGAGCTCTGTTCCTAAATATCTATAGACCACCCAAATACTGTGCAAGCTTTTTTGATGACTTTACTGAACTGCTGTCTATAGTGTGTATTGACTTTGACCGTCTAGTCATTGTTGGTGATTTTAACATCCATGTTGACAACCCCCAGGACAGAGGGGCTAAAGAACTGTTTTGTGTTCTTGATAACTATGGACTGACTCAGCATGTGGCGGAGCCCACGCACAATAAGGGGCACACTCTGGACTTAATTATCTCAAAGGGTCTGAATATCTCAAAAGTTGTGGTGACTGATGTTGCACAATCTGATCATTCCTGTGTTTTCTTTGAGAGCTCTATTTCTGTTCACAAAAATGTTCAGAAAGAGGTAACCACAAAGCGATATTTAACTGAAAATACTAGGGAAATGTTTACTCATAATTTTTCATCCACACTTGCCCCTGCTAACATCTCAGTAAATGAGCTAGTAGATCATTTTAATTCAACAATTAAAAATGTTATAGATACCATTGCTCCAACTAAGGTAAAGGAAGTGATTGGCAAGAAAATATCTCCATGGAGAAAGGCCATGACCGTGAGAACAGAAAAAAGAGAGTGTCGAAAAGCTGAACGTAGGTGGCGAAAAACAAATCTCCAGGTTCACTTTGAAATCTATAAAGAGAGACTTGGCCTTTATAATTTGGAATTGAAAAACGCACGACAGTCTTTCTTCTCTGACATCATTACCAAAAACAAAAACAACGCACGTGCCTTGTTTGCTACCGTCGACAGACTAACTAACCCCCCAGTGTCAGTAGCATCTGAATTTCTATCCACCAGGGCGTGCAATGATTTTGCCTCCTTCTTCACTGACAAAATTCAGAAAATTAGACAAGCAGTCAGTGCCTCTGCATCAGGTACAGCAAATGTGTCCCTATGTCCACCTAATATCAATTCAAACACCATGACACAATTCCATCAGATTAATGATAAAAACTTAGAGGACATTATTCAACTTCTGAAATCCTCCTCCTGCTGCCTTGATATTATTCCAACAGGATTTTTCAAAGATGTTTTTCATTGCATGGCCTCAGATCTACTTCATATAGTAAACACATCTCTTCACTCAGGTATTTTTCCACAGGCCCTGAAAACTGCAGTCATTAAACCGCTCTTAAAAAAGAATAATCTAGATGCTTCAGTAATGAACAATTACAGGCCAATATCAAACCTGCCATTTCTAGGTAAAATCATTGAAAAAGTTGTATTTCAACAGTTGAGTAACTTCTTGCATTTAAATAACTGTTTGGATGTGTTCCAGTCAGGATTTCGTCCAAACCACAGCACTGAGACTGCTCTTGTAAAGGTCTTCAATGACATCCACTTAAACACAGACAGTGGCAGAACTTCAGTGTTAGTATTATTAGATCTCAGTGCTGCGTTTGACACTGTTGACCACAACATATTACTAGACCGACTAGAAAACTGGGTGGGACTTTCGGAAACAGTTCTAAATTGGTTTGAGTCCTACTTAAAGGACAGAAAAAACTTTGTTTCTATAGGTAAATACACATCTGAGTTGACAAATATGACATGTGGGGTACCTCAAGGCTCCATCTTGGGGCCTCTTCTCTTTAACATCTACATGCTACCACTGGCTCAGATAATGAAAAACAACCAAATAAGTTACCATAGCTATGCGGATGACACACATATTTACGTAACAATTTCACCAGGAGACTATGCTCCAATTCAAACACTGAGTAAGTGCATTGAACAAATCAATGACTGGATGTGTCAGAACTTTCTCCAATTAAACAAAGATAAAACTGAGGTAATGGTTTTTGGAGCCAAGGCAGAACGTATAAAAGTTAGCGCTGAGCTTCAGTCTGCAATGTTCAAAACAACAGATAAAGCCAGAAATCTAGGTGTAGTCATGGACTCTGACCTGAGTTTCAACAGTCACATTAAAACAGTTACTAAATCAGCCTACTATCACCTAAAGAATATATCCAGGATTAAAAGACTAATGTCACAGCAGGATTTGGAAAAAACTTGTCCATGCTTTTATCTTCAGTAGACTGGACTACTGTAATGGTGTCTTTACAGGTCTCACTAAAAAATCTATTAGAAAGCTGCAGCTGATTCAGAACGCCGCTGCTCGAGTCCTCACTAACCCCTAGATTCCACCGGGTCCGTCTGCGCCGCGTTACGGCTGCACCGCGGTTTTGGTCCGGCCTCCTCCGGCGTCATACCCTACCAGGCGCGTTTCAGAAGCATTTCAGAAGCGGAGCGTCTTGCCTGCCGGCTCGCAGTTTTTGTTGATTTGGGCATATTTCCTGGACAGGCTACTTTGTACAGACAAAGTTAATAATAACTGTAATATTCCAGTTATAAACGACATGAATCAAAGATCTGTTGCTGTATTTTAGTGGTAAATAAATGCATTCATCATCATAATTATTCTATATAATTTACACAGTGCCTGTTAACCGGAGGAGAACGCTGGCATTTCTCCTCCTACTTGAAAGACTACGGAGGGATAGGGTCTGCAAAATTAGTTTGTGTGTGTGTATATATCTATATATATATGCTATATATGCTCTGAAAGTTCCACTTCCTGCCTGCCAGACCTTACGTTACGGCTGCGCCGCGACAAAAATAGGATTCGATCCTAATTTTAGAAAAGCCCTGCGCCGAGCCGCTTCTGGGACGCTTCTGGGACGCGTCTGAGCCGTAACGCGCCGCGTGTGGTGGAATAGCACCCATTGACTAGAGTGGCCGCGGATACCTTGAGCACCGCGGCGCAGCCGTAACGCGTCCGTAACGCGCCGCAGACGGACCCGGTGGAATCTAGGGGTTACACTAAGAAAGTGGATCACATCACTCCTGTTCTGAAGTCCTTACACTGGCTTCCTGTGTGTCAAAGAATAGATTTCAAAATATTGTTGCTGGTCTATAAAGCTTTGAATGGTTTAGGCCCAAAATACATGTCTGACCTACTGCTAAATTATGAACCATCCAGAACTCTCAGGTCTTCAGGGACTGGTCAGCTTTCTGTCCCCAGAGTCAGAACTAAACATGGTAAAGCAGCGTTCAGTTATTATGCTCCAAATATCTGGAACAAACTCCCAGAAACCTGCAGGTCTGCTGCAACTCTTACTACTTTTAAATCCAGGCTGAAGACTTTTCTTTTTGTCGCTGCTTTTAATTGAACTATTCATATCTTAAACTGCACTGTAACTTTTATCCATGTATTTTTTCTTTTAATGTTTATTTTATTATCTTTTATTTTTAATGACTGATTTTAAATGCCATTTTCTTAATGTCTTCCATTTTTGTAAAGCACTTTGAATTGCCTTGTGTTGAAAGGTGCTATATAAATAAACTTGCCTTGCCTTGCCTTGCCTTGCACTTGTACACACTCAAACCCACACACACTTGACCAACATTCACCTTTCTCAACAGGATAACGCCAAGCTGCTGCAGGAGAGAGCTGTGGCTTACATTAATGCCGACTCTGCCATTGAGGGTGAGTGTGTGCACAGTTAGTAGTAAATTAGTTTTGATGTGTCTTATGTGTTTTTTTAAACATTTCAATTTGATTTCCAGGAATGTACACACTGAGGGTTGACTGTACTCCGTCTCTACACACGCTGGTGTATGACCTCACCAAACAGGTAAGCAGAAACAAAAGGAAGGGTACTTAACAAACTGTTTTGAGAATGATTAATTTAGTCTTCATGCTCACTTTTATACTTGATGTGTTTGTATGTAGATAGCCAGTCCAGAGGAAGGAGAGGAAGGAGTTTCTTTGTACGAGAGTTGGCATAAGAGGGACAACTGGACGGATAACCGTGATGCACCCAGGTACAAAGTAGCTTGCTCTGGTCAGAGTCAGGCTGTAAACAAACATATTTTGAATGTAAAATATAACAAGTAATGAAACAAATCACTCAAACAGTCTGTCCTTCACTCTGCTGCGCTGTAGGATCAGTAAACTGGGGTCAGGCAGTGACTTCGAGGCCTATTTTATCCGTCTGGGAATTGCTGCAGGCAGAGCCAGATACACCAAGAACAAGGTGAGACACGCTGACTGATTCATCCAAATATTATCATTCTTATTAGTCTTAAGGTATATTACTATTACTATAAGTTCTTAATCATATCTTTATGTGACTGTATTTTAGGCGCACAAAACATTTTGCATCCATGCTATGTTTAAGTTTTACTAGGAAGATTTATTTTTTCTCTGAGGAATTTTAAGGATGTTAAACTTTAAAAACAATATTAAAGTAAGTGTACATGCTTCATATGCAGACCTATTCGTTCCGAGAGAATATGTTTGCGATTTTTGCATACTTTTTTGATTTTTAATGCAGGTTTTGTCTTTTACATGTACATTGTCGGTGTGACATTGTCTTCGTATATGAATAAATAATTGTATCTATCTCTATTATGCTACACTGAGAAAGAAATTAAGAATTGGAGCTGCAAATATAAGTGGACTAATGGAATAGTAGATCAACAGAAACTAATCGCCAACTATTTGATACTAGTTTAAACGTTTAAGTATTTCTTCAATGACCATTAACAATAACTAATTGATAAATCGATAAAATAAGCGGGAGATTAATCAATAACCAAAATATTTGTGAGTTTCAGTCCTACACTACATAATCTAAAGTTATTTCTGTTTACATTTAAGGGTTGAATAAGTGGTTAGAGAATAATTCAAAAAAAGGACAGCATCTTTATTAGGGTGGTCCTCAGTGCCATGTACATTTTCGAATTCATTTATTTTAAGCTCCAACCACCGGAATTCGTTATGATAGTCAAGAAAACTCTCCTGGTGAATTTTACTCAAATTCCAACAACATTTACCCCTCCCTCATCAACCTTGAAGTTTAGCCTCACGTAGGGTGGTCCTTAAAATGTACCCCTCCCTCATCAACCTGGGCTGCCACACCAGTAGCCACGGTGCTGCAACTGAGGCTAAACTTCAAGGTTGATGAAGGAGGGGTAAATGTTGTCAGATTGAGAATAAAATTCACCAGGAGAGTTTTCTTGACTAATAGAATGAATTCTGGGGGTTGGAGCTTAGACTTTCCGACTTTCAATTTTGAGGACCACCCTAATCTTTATGGTAAATGATAATCTGAGCCTCCATGGCGTCAATGTATCTCACTGGGCTGTTGTCTGTGCTTTCAGAAAACAGAGCGGTACAGCAGCTATCCGGTGTATCACAGTGTTTATGAGACCTTCGAGGTAGTGGAGAAGTTTTACGACCCCTCCTTCAAGAGGCTTCGGGTGGTGGCCCAGGTGAGAGGGGGGCTCATCTTCCAATTGGCTGATTCCCAGCTGCTCCCTCTCGATGTTAACCAGTATGCAGACGCGCTCGGGAAGTACGCTCAGAGCATCGCACAGCTAGGACACAGGCACCCAGAGGAGATGAACACGTACAGGGTGTCGTTTGGTGAGTTGACTTGAGTATATATCGACTTTAAATATCCTTAAAATGTTTAAACGATATGGCCAAATAGCAAACTTTTCTCAGAATGTAGCTGCTTTTAAATGTTGTTTTCCCTTTTCGTTACATTTTCAGATTCCTTGTTTTCTGCTGTGGAGAACTTTACTGTTGCAGCGAGGGACTTCCATGAGCGCCTGCATACTCTCAACAAAGCAGAGTAAGAATATGTTTAACATTTAGGATGTCAAATGCTGAAATATGTTTGTTGTTTTCGTATTGAGAGGTATTTCTTATTTTCAGTTTTTCCTATTTATATATAAGAGGGATCAGCATAAAACATAACTGTAAATATAATGTGAAAAATAATGTTGTGCTTGTGTATCAGTCCTCTGCAGTTACGTATCGTGAATGATCAGCTCATGTATCTGGAGAGAGCCTTCATAGACCCCCTAGGCCTACCTGGCAGACCGTTTTACAGGTGAGTCACACACACACACACACACACACACACACACACACACACACACACACACACACACACACACACACACACACACACACACCACACACACACACACACACACACACACACACACACACACACACACACACACACACACACACACACACACACACCACACACACACACACACACACACACACACACACACACACACACACACACACACACACACACACACACACACACACACACACACACACACACACACACACCACACACACAGAGAGACACACACCGCAATTACACTTGATTTGATGGATGCAAACCAAAAATAAGGCCACTCAACTACACAATCACAAGACACCTATGCCCTGCAACAGAATCCACACAGCACATTCGCCTAATGAACAGCTGTGTTTCAACGTTCAACTCTTCACCTCATCACAGCTGGTCCATCGCATTTCATTCAAAGTAAACAGAGGCTTGAGATTTGGCTGATTTAAAGCAGACTTTGGGACGGGCTTGTTTATAATGTAAGAGGTGGAGATAAACACTATTATTCCTCAGAAAAACCTTGTGGTGTTGTGTATGTCAGAGGGAAGAGTTGTATCTTTAATTCTGCATGTGCTGCTGTAAACATGCTCCCAAAGCGAAATATGTAAATTCTTCAAATGTCTACTCATTACGCTTCTAGGTTTACATTTTCTCCTACATTAAAGCCAAGTGTACCTCCCATCTACATCTGACACATTTTAAGCTGCTGTTTAAAACCCTTTTCATTTCGTTTTTCAGAGCTATGATTGTTTGCCTCATATCACACTTTCCATTTAAATATTTGCATTAAGACTGATGAATATTGCAACTTTGAATAGACAAGAACCATCCTGCACAACTGACATTCCCTCTTCTCTCTTTCAGGCATGTGATTTTTGCTCCCAGCAGCCACAATAAATATGCAGGGGAGTCTTTCCCTGGAATCTACGATGCATTGTTTGACATCCAGAACTCAGCTGATAAACAGAAGTCCTGGGAGGAAGTCAAGCGTCAAATCAGCATCGCAGCATTCACCGTTCACGCTGCTGCCATGACCCTAACTCCACCTGCATGACGCAGGCACAGACAATCTGAAGCCATGTGATTATGCTAATTAATTATTTTATAATAACGGATTCTGAAGCGAGGAAATACGCTCCGTGAAACACAGAGATGGACAATCCCTGTTTTCTGAACATGTCATGTTCCAGGAATGCCTGTTCAGTGATACAGTGAATCTCTGAGTGCCATTTTCAGAGTACAACTTTCTGGTGTTTTATGTTATTATTATTTTTTAACTGTTTGATGTTTTGTGAATGGGGAGCATAATAAAATAAATCCATCATTTGCATGGAGGCAGGAAAAAAAACTATTTCCAGTCAATGTTGGTCTGAGAAAAAAACACTTAATCTTTAAGCTCTTTATTTTAGGTTTCTTCAACTTAATTTGTTGAGCTTTTCTTCACCCAAATAAGATGTGCATTTCTGTCTTTGTATTTTTTATACAGGAAGCTGCCTTTCTTTGAGAACTTGCTATTAATATAAAGCAAGATGATCACACAACCTTTCGATTGATCTGCTATATTCAAACTATATATCTTACTCAAACACCAAACTGGGAACCTGGCAACAATCAGAGTTATGCAGAGTTATATGGACGTATTATGTAGATGATGTAAGAAGTGGTGTGTGAATGAATGTGATGAGTGTGAGCAGGCTGTTGTGTCTGCATGCTTCTGTGTGTTTTACCTTGGAGCTGACAGCGTCCACATAGCTGACCCAGGTTAGGAGGTTTGGCGTAATGGAGATGATAATTTGACTCTCGACCCCTGGGACGAAGATAATAGTAATAGTGATGTGTGGTCAAAGTTAAACAACACATTTTCATTATTTAATTAAAATTATTCCTAAAGGAAAGTTTGAGCAGGAAACCACCAACTTAAAACATGAATATTACTGTGTGCAGCACACTGGAAGTGAATTGGAGCTAATTTCTCTGGCTGGTTTCAAAGTGTGTTGACCATAACAAAAATGTCTGCCCTACGCTTTTAAACTCTGATCTTTCTTAGTTGGAGTATTTCCTCTCTGACCTGGGTATTTATTTTCCCTCCAGAGGCGACGTCCTGTAGTGCAGCCCTGCTGGGACCGTTTATTTTGGCAGCAGCTCCAGTACTTTGTGCTGCAGACAAACACACACTTTTAGGAAGCAGATACAATTTAAGTTGTACAACAAGTAGTGAAGGGTTAGAACTACTACACCATTAAAACTGTGCTACAACTTATTAGAGCACAATGTGTTAGATTGTGTCTGGTGTGTGTGTACTCACTCCATGTGGAAAACAGGAACTCCCGGATGATGTTTACAGACTCCCTTCTGCCTTCTGTCTTTCTGGAACAGAGTTGTACTGAAAGTCCAAACTGGCAGACAGCCCAGGTGATGACATTTGAACTCTGCCTGTCACAGAAACAGTTTACAACATTACAGCATCCTCTATTCTTACAAGAAGCCAATCTTTTCATCGCCTTCTTCATGAATGTATGTAGTACAAATCCATGTGTGTACCCGTGTTGTCAGCTTGTAACCTGCCATTCAGGTGAAGTGATGCCCCGTTGCTCTCTACTGCTGCTGGTTCCTGAAAGCTACCAAATTGTATTTTGTTGTATTCCTACATTGAGGTAAGTGTTTTAGGTTTTATAAACTAATGCAGCTGATGCCCTCCTCTGGCTATTAACGGTATTGCAGCTTTTGTTGGTTGGTTATAACCTTTATATACAGTCTATGGTTATAACCTTTATATAGTCTATGCCAGGGGTGGGCAATTATTTTTTCCATGGGGCCACATGAGAAACTGAAAATATTGTGGAGGGCCGGGCCAAAAGGCTGAACTCAATTCTGCATAATATTAATTGTATTTCTTTATAAAAAGCAGTAAATAGCATTGTTTTGACAAGCTGGTAAGAGTATATGTTATAGTTAAGCAATGAAAAAGTGAGGTTGCCTTACAAAAAAATGTCATTTATTAAATCAAATTTCCCAAAACAATGGTAAACAAAATGAACGTTTTTCACCATTTGTGACTCATATTAGTGAACATTTTCAGTCACATTCACTCAAACACATTTTGAGTTTCATTTACTGTTGGAAAGAGGTTCTTAGCATTCTAAAGACATCACAATATTGTCTTTGTACTCCAAATATTAAGCAAGATACATCATATTGAACTGTCACTAAACATCACTGAACTGTGATTTTGAGAAAAAGGCTTCCAAAGAAAGTGTCCCAGTTCACTGCTAGTTGGTGCCTTTACATGCCAACATTTGTAGTCTAACCACCTCATTTGGTGTTTTTAAGTTCTCTTTTCTTGTTCAGTGAGAGAAATCTAGTCTCTGCTGGGCTTTAACGAGTGCATCAAAGTCAGGTTGAATGTCTGAGGTGGAGATGCGAAGCACAGCTGACAGATGATCATCAGTGAGAGAGGATCTATACCTGGATTTCGTAAACTTCATAATTGAAAATGTTTGTTCACATATGTAGGTCGAGCCAAGAGAACCAACATCTTCTGAGCATGTCTCCTCATGTTTGGAAAGTTCTCCTCCTTGAGAGAAGAGTAGAAATCCAGCAGAGATCCTGACTTAAAGTGCTCTGCCAGTACTGCATCAGACTGCAGGTCGATGAGTTCCAGCTGAACATCACTGGGTGCATTATCCACACTGCAGATAAAGGGAGAGGAAATCAGGTGCATTTCATCCTCGATTTTTCTGAGATCTTCAAATCGCCTTGAAAACTCACCATGCAATGCTCCCAACATGGATGAGTACCTGCGGAGGTGATCAGCTGATGGTGTGACTTCTTTCAGGGTTTGCATGTGAGTGAGATTGTTGCTCTCCAGTTGGCTTGAAAGAAACTGCATCTTTGTCATGAAAGCCTTCACCAGGCTGTGCATTTCATGAACAAAAAGGCCCTTGCCTTGCAGTTTGGTATTCAGTTCATTCATCAGTGCAGTCACATCAACAGCAAATGCAAAATCTGCCATCCAGTCCTCATCTGAGAGCTCTGGGAAGTCTTTGCCTTTCTTCTCACAAAACTCTCGAATCTCTGCTTTCAGGTCCCAAACTCTTTTTAGCACTTTGCCCAGGCTGAGCCATCTGATAGCTGTGTGGTAGCCGATGTCACGATGCTCAGTCTCATGCTCCTCCAAAAGTGCGATAAACTGTCTGTGGTTCAAAGCTCTTGCCCTGATGAAGTTTACTATTTTAGTAACAACATCAATAACATGGTTAATTTTTCAGCACTGACTTGCACAACACATGTTGGTGTATAATACAATGCAAAAATACCAGTTTCTGATCCGCGTCGATTTCAGTCACTTTATCTTGCATACGTTTCAAAGTCCGACATTTTTTCCGGTAAGATTTGGACAACCGTCCGTTGTGACACCTGCCAGTCTGTCCCATTTCAGTCCCAGCGTGTCCATGCACTCGTTTACCTCCGTGAACAGATCGCTCCCTGTCGTCGTCCCTTTCATCGACCGCATTGCTGCCAGCTCCTCCGTAATCTTGAAGTCCGGTGTTATCCCGCGGACGAATATGAGTAACTGGGCTGTGTCGCGGACATCACAGCTCTCGTCCAAAGCCAAGGAGAAAAAGTCGTAACTTGCCACTTCACGTTGCAGCTGAAGCTCCAGATTCCCCGCAATGTCCTCGATCCTTCTAGTCACGGTTCGCCTGGACAGCGGGACTTGCTCAAATGCGGCTTTTTTTTCAGGGCATATTAGTGCTGCAGAGTCCACCAAGCACTCTTTGACAAACTCCCCCTCCGAGAACGGCTTACTGTTTTTAGCAATTTTGTGGGATATCACAAAGCTGGTCATGGTTGCTGCATCACTGGATGTGTGAAGCTTGGTAAAAAAGCCTTGCTGCTTTTGCAGCTTAGCTAGCAAAGCTTCCGATGTCCGCGCCCTTTCAGCGTCAGTCAAGTTTTTATATTTCTCCGCGTGTTTCGTCTCGTAATGTCGACTCACATTGTACTCCTTAAACACGGCGATCTGCTCCCCGCAAACTAAACACACTGTTTTACCTCCGACTTCAGTAAATAAATACTTAGCAGTCCAATTTTTGTTGAAAACCCTGCATTCAGCATCTACCTTTCTTTTTTTAGCGGACATTTTTTTGAGGGCTAAAGTCGTCTTGTGACAAGGATCCAATAATGTGCACGTCTTGATATACGTATTGCGTCATTATGCACGTGAATAAAAAACAACTTCAAAATAAAAGCAATGCAGCTTTAGTCCATGCATGAGGTAAAGTTAGAAAATATGTTTATTTTGTAATTTCCAATTAGCCTTACACGGGCCGGTCAGAGTCAACCAAAGGGCCGTATGTGGCCCGGGGGCCGTACAATGCCCAGGTCTGGTCTATGCCATAGACTGTATATAAAGGTTATAACCATAGACTTATAACCTATACAGTCTATGGTTATAACCTTAAAATGCAAGTGATGCGTCTTAATTCTTATTCATTTAGTCAATGCTCAATGCCATGTTTGTTTTTTTATTTTCTTTATAATAAAGCAATACCCACTCCCCAATATAAATCCATTGTGGAGTAAAACACAAAAGATGACTGAAACCAAATACAAACACTGTTGTTTAAAGGATCTCAGGACAACAATGTAAAATATGCAAAAAATCATATTTAGAAAATGTATGAACAAATCCATTAGGAGATGATTACAGTAAGTGCTCAGAAAATGTCATCCATTTTCACTTTATCAATGATCGGCATTTACCTTATTGTATCATATTTCTTGAGGGAAGACAGCCACACACACACACATCTTATACACAGAGAAAATGTCATTGCATTTAGTTGGTCTTTAAATGTTTGTCAGCAGGTAACATATAAAAACAATAAATATAAAAACAATAAACAAATGCACATAAAAGCTGACATTCCATAATATTCGATTTTATGTTGATTAATGGTAGAAAAGGTAAACAGAAGAATGAATCTATAATTCAGCAAGTACAAAAGCACAAAGAATCGCCCGAGACAAATATGCATACACACTATGATATCAATCCAGACTAATTTAGGAATACATTATTCACCCATACCATAACCTTTCATCCATATTGCATTTGGAACTAACCTACAACTTTTTGACATTTTCAGTATTTTCCTGTTTCAAAAGTTACTTGCTTGTTCCCTCCAATGCATATGGTTTCAAATAAAAGCACATCTAAAATAAAAATGACTGATTAGAAGTCTCTTAGTGCTGATTGTAAAACATGACAAACTTAATGTAGTTTTGCTTAAACTCTAATGTAACGGAAAGCATAGGACAACATGTTCATTCGT